AGTTACCAGTGGGGTAGAGGGTGGGAAGGGATAGAGTGAGATTTCAAAATTGTAGAATAGATAAACAAGATTACACTGTATAACACAGGGAAATATACAGAAAATGTTATGATAAATCACAGAGAAAAAAATGTGACAATGAGTGTGTATATGTCCATGAATGACTGAGAAATTGTGCTGAACACTGGAATTTGACACAACATTGTAAAATGATTATAAATCAATAAAAAATGTTAAAAAAAATAGAAGGACATGAAATGATGGTGAAGATGAGGGGAGCCAAATTGACTCCTACATTGCTGATGGGAATTCGTGAATGGTACAGCCACTCTGGAAAGCAGTTTGGCAGGGTTTTTGGTTTGTTTTTTGGTTTTTAAGTAAGTGTGCAATTACTATACAACCCAGCAAGCAGAATTCTTGTTACGAAGGCCAAGCTCATAGGCTTGCACATGATATGCCAATAAATTGAGAGATGGAGTCTTGGGGCAAGGAATAATGACATTATTCAGAAAACCAGCAGACTAAGAAGATGGTGGACTAGTGTCCCAAAAAGCCATCTTGCCTGAGTTAGAGTTCAGGCTTCTTCTTTTATACTAAAAAGGAAGGGGAGTGACTGGTTGTTTCAGACTTCTTGGTGCTGTCCTGACAGTGATGGTGACATGATAATCCTTTGTTCTTGCAGCCATTTGTGTAGGTCTGGTCATGATGTTTCTAGAAACCTCCTGCAGGACAAATGTTATTTTCTGTTCTGCAACTTTTTATCTCTATGTGAATGCAAAGTGTTTTGACTTTACAGGTCAAGGCTGGGAGGCACAGCCTTGAGCAAGGGCTATTATGCATATTTCAGGATATAGGTAACATCTTTTGATGAGACAAAGGTGCAAGGACAGCTTGGCTAAGCATGAGCAAAAAGCACAGAGGTTGCAGCTAAAGGACTAGATCCAATGCGGAGTCAGTTTTGTTCTTCTTTGTTACATTCTGATTATTTATCCCAGAGAAATGAAAACACATTTCACACAAATGCCTAGACACAAATGTTTCTAGCCATTTTATGCACAACAGTCCAACAGTGGGAAAAACCGCAGATGTCCTTCAATAGAGGAAAAGGTAAGCAAACTGGGGGCTGTCCACACCATGGACTACTACTCAACAAAAAACAAACAAACAAACAAAAAAACCCCAGTGAAATCTCAATACCCACAACAATTTGGATGAATTGCCAGAGAATTAAGCCGAGTAGAAAAAAAGCTCATCACAATTTCCTATTCTCTCATCTCTCAGAGATGCTTTCTGCTGGCCGTTATTAGCATGATCAGCATTCCAATTGTAAGCACAACAAGAAAAAATGGGCTTGAGAAGTTTAAACTTTAGAATTTAGAAAAGGAAATCAGCACATGGGAAATGTTTTACAAACGAAGTATGTGGTCATTATTTTATAGCTAGTTCCTTCCACCTGTAGTTCATTTTACAAGCCACTGCCATCTAGGTCTCCCCAAAACACCATTCTCATCACTGATGCCTCATTGCCTAACTACTTTCCATGGGTCCCCCGTTGCTATAGCCACGGCCATTTCCTGTCTCTAATCTACCTTTCCAACACCAAACACCACTGTAATAATTGTTTTAAAGTAGGGCTTGGTCCTGCACCCAGAGCACCAGCACTGCGTGGCAGGGGCAGCTGCCCCCGCCTCCTTCACCCCGCCCCCAGGACAGGCCCCATGCTTATCAATTTGTAAACTCCCCTTATTGATGCTTTGTATAGCAGTGGGTCTCAGTATAGGCTCCCTTTTGGACTCATTTGGTTTGGGGAGAACCTCTTAGAGAAGATGCGTGTTCAGATACCAT